CGCGCGCTGTGAGATTCCTTCGCTCTTCCCCACAGTGGTTGTGCTTTTCAGNCCGAGACCTTCCTTCGCCGCGTGCTGTGAGATTCCTTCGCTCTTCCCCACAGTGGTTGTGCTTTTCAGATTTCCAGTTGCTGGTGGGAAAACATTTGATTTGCAAACTGCTATTCAAATATTCCTGAGTTTTCTTCAGGGACAGTGCCCAAGTACGAAAGGTTGATTTTTCCCCTTCAGTACAGGTTAATAATTCATTTCCCCTGGCCGAGGAGAATGGATAGTCGGCTGTACTGTTTTATNAGAGGAGAATGGATAGTCGGCCGTCTTGTTTTATTAGCTGGTGAGCACCTGGACGAACTACAGCCAAACCCAGGCCGTTTCTGGGTGAAGCATCTTCTCACACAGGAGCAGAAGACTGAGCTAGAAGTGAAGAAAAATTCCTTTCATGGGCAGAATAGGAAGGGACATTCCTGAATTACTTGGACTTTTTCTTAGATCTGGAAATTTTTGATATTTAATTGTATGCAGTGACTGTGCATTTCCTCTTCATGAGCATTTCTTCTTGCGTTGGCGTTACATGGAGTCTTCATGTAACTTAATATTTGAAGGATAGTTATCGAATGCATAGCGAATCGTGCACATTTCTCTCCTGGCTACTTCTCTCCACCTGAAGTGACAATGAGAAGTAACTGAGCAGACGTTCGCCTTCCTAAGCATGACCATCACTTGCCACAGACAGGCACAGCCCAGAGATACTGTGCATTCAGCCCCAGGCCGCCGTAATAAAGCGAGTGTCACAATAAAGGGAGGCTTAGTCTTTTTGCTGGTGGAGGGTCTTGCCTTCAATTTGTTAAAAAACAAACAACAAAAAAAACAACTCCTGTGAAGTGCAATAAAACCATGCATGCATGTACTGCAATTGTAAATTTATAGGTGGCTCTGCATTTTCTCTGGCCAATTTAGCTTTTCCCTGAAGTGGAGAGTACTCATAATAACAATCGTTGAGTTATACGGGCAAGGCGGCATGCTTCGCCTTCACCTGTGAAACCTCATTCAAGGGAAGTTACGTAACTGCTACCCTTAATATAATGATTTAAGAGATTATCATAGTGTCTAAGCTATCAAATTCTGCACAGGAAATAGCAAAAATTTTATCTTTAGTTCTTCAATATCTACACGATAGCTTATCTCTACAAGATTGTTTATTTTCAGATAGGCTGGACAAATAGGAGGCATATTGCTGGCTTCTGAAGGCATAGGTGGGCTGTTCAGGCGTTCGCACACTGGAGCCACACGGCTTGGGTTCTAGTCCAGCTGTGCAGCGTGGGGATTATAGTACCCACCTCATCGAGTATTGAGACTTACATCAAGTACTATATGGAAAGCACGTTGAGTAAGTCCTAATACGTAGTTTAAATATTACTACGGCAACGGAGGGGAGACATGAAGTCTTTGCTGGAAATGTCCCTTTCAGGCAATGTATTTGTCTGAGTGGACGTCTGATGTAACTCTGCATAGTTATGATTTTTTAAATTTTTGTTCAAAATTATTAGCTGACTTCAGTTCTGCTGTCTTTCTCTGTCTTACACAGTGTCAGAGATGTAAGATTTCAAAGCATAAATATCCTAACACTGCCTTCTAAAGACTTCCTTGGGGGAGGGGGGGGGATCTGACCACGAGTAGAAAAAACAAGCTGTGAAGCAGCAAGCTTGTTTCCTTTAACTTGGCACCGCAAAAGCACTTTGAACAAGGGCCCTATTATGTTTTAGGTAACAGGTGGTAGCTGGGGTATTAAGCTGCTCTGGGCAGGATTTCAGATTTCCATTCTTTGGTGCTTTAGGCAGTACACTTCTATCATAAAGCAGTCAATAATAATTAAGTGTCTGGAATGAAATACAGTAGAGCATTATGCTTCCCACATCTGGAAGGAGAAACTCACTTAACTAGCCCTAAATCAATGCATTTTCTCTTTATTCCTAGGGGGAGTGTTCGAGGCAGCAGAGAACACTATGGAAATGTGAATTGTGGCTCAGTGCACAATCACACACAAATTAGCTGTTATGACACATTTTCCTACAAGTAATAGAAGCAGGCCCCAAAGCATTAAACCTTTATTTCTAACATAAACACTTCCATCACATTGCATTCTCTGTCACTGTAGGGCCATCTGTTTCACATTTAATGAAAAAGTCTGTCATAATAGGTGATATAGAGGTGAAAGGACAAAGTGAAGGTTGTAAACAGGGCTTAACGTAAATTATTTTTCAGATCTTAGTTTTATTAAATCATGTTTTACCATGGTCCCATAAGAGGGGTTGGGGGCAATAAATAGAGAAGGAATTATTTCTTTTGTCTCATAGATCTCCGAAGAGAAAACTAATACTTAAATTCTGTCAGAATTTGAAGTTTCCTGTGCAGATTGGGGTGGGAGATCAAGAAAATGGAATTTGCAACTTGTAGCATAAACTTTCCTCAGTGCGCTCCCAAGAGTGAGGGGCCTGATCCTGGCAAAACTGCTTCCCATAAGTCCCTTCTTACTTGTGACTTCAACAATGGGCTCCAAGAACAGTCATCCTATTTTCAAAATTCAGAATCATCACTTCTGCAAAATTACCTCCAAAACTTGCTGCCAGCATCCCCCCTCC